TGATCTTCGAATCCTTGCCAAATACGGCGGCGTCTTTGACCTTCGATCGTCTGCTGGGTGCGGAGCTCCGGATTCCTTCTCTCACTTGCGTGTAGCGGGAAACTCCTAGCATCACCCTTTCAATAGCGCGTTGAATATCGCCAACCGCATGCTACTTATGGTTTCAAAGTGAGTAGAGAGAGACAAATCTTCTACTTTTGAACGCTCGTCTTTGCTCAGCCCTTTGTCCTGTATTCCGCCTGATAGGTTGAAATACACATGCCCAAGAGTCTTTCACCGTTAACTCAGAAAAATCCTAAACAGCGGGTTTTCGAATACGAACTTCTGTAAAAGCCTTTGCGTTACTGGGAAAGCGAAGACACCTGCTTCCCAATACTCGCTTGTTTTGTCTTGGGTCTTGTATTACAGGGGTTACAGCCCCTGAAATGGTAAGAACTTGCGTGTTCAAGGAATTTTCAACGCCAATTTTGATGCGAAGCTGTGAGATCTCCATCAGGACTGGTTGAGTACGTTCAGTTGGAAGTTTACGAAGAATCAAGGATCGCGCCTTTTGCTAAGGAAAATGCTGTTTCTGAAGAAACTTACAATTTTTCGAGAAGCTTCAAGATAAATGCCAGCGAAATAGTTACCTCCTATGCCAGCGCAGCAAGGCGGAGGTTGAGTACAAGTAGAAAGAATGATACCATTAAGAAAAGACTGAACGCACTCTGATCTTTTTCGGTCGGACTTCAGACATAGGTTCCGCCACCGTATAGGAGAGATTACAGAAGGAACTGAAAAGTCGGTTGGGTGAGCAATCGAAAAATTTCTAGAGCACACATAGAAAACGAAATCGAGACAAGAACAAACAACGCTGACTGAGAACTTGGAGTAGCGTTGACATAAATATATAACTGATTACCCTTGCTCATCTTGGTGAAAGGAGGGTTCACCAGTCGCACCAAGAGGTGTCTTCATTGAAGCGAAAGGAGTGTACAACTTTGTCGGTTCCTCACATGGAACTTTCTGTCGCGCAGGTGTTTTTGCCTATACAAGTAAAGCATACAAACATCGTCAAGACATCGCTTGACTATCTCGGTACGCTACATCTTGATCGAAAAAAGGCAAAAATAATCCACCTGTTCTCCAAGGGGTTGAGGTGCCTTAGGCGGAAGTATAACTGGACATATCTCTTTGTCATCTTCGCCACTTTCTCCATTGATCAAATTCGAAACTAAACATCAATTGTCTCATAGCTACTTTCCAACTGGAATGATGAATCTGATAATGGAATCTGCATTTACTATTAGGTTGGTCAAAAAGTTTTGATAGGGTTTTTTGAAAGTTCCAGAACTTTCGATTCTTGATCGATCGATACCAATGATCTACCATGTGATAGTGGTAGAACATTCTAGAACTTTCTCTTAAATCACGATGTCAATTCCACGACATGTTCGATACATCATCTTCTACGAGTGGCGCCGCGGCACCGGAGCGACGGCAACCGTTCGCAACATCAACAGCGTATGGGGGGAGGACACCACTTCCATCGCTACGGTCCATCGCTGGTTCGCTCGCTTCAAGGAAGGAGACACGGACTTCGAAGACAAGCCTCGGTCGGGACGCCCCTCGCCGTCGACGACTCCGTCATTCTCGACGCCGTCAGAGAGGATCCGAAAGTTAACCCCTTATGTGGGCCCAATCGACAGTGGTCGGTCACTTTCAGTCTCTCGGTTACAGAAATGTGCTGACTCGATGGATACCTCATGTCTTGACCGATAGCATGCGGTACACCCGGGTATCCATTTGTCAGTCTCTCCTTCTCCGCCCACATCGCAAGGAGTTTCTGGAGGACCTAGTTACTGGAGATGAAAGCTGGATCCTCTACGACGCTAACAAGCACCGCGCCGTCTGGCTCCCGCGAGGAGAACAGCCGCCGACGCAAGCCAAATCCGACCTCCACCCCAAGAAGTTTCTCCTTTGCTGCTTCTGGGATTCAAAAGGAATGCTGTACTACGAACTGCTCAAGCAAGGCCACACCGTCACCGCTCCCTATTACGCTGGTCAGCTGCAGAAACTTGCGGAAGCCGTTCGAGAAAAACGGCCTAGACGAACTTTTGTGCACCTCCTCCATGACAACGCTAGGCCTCACATAGGTAAAGAGACCCGTGCAAAATTGGAGGAGCTAGGCTGGGTTCCACATCCACCCTATTCACCTGATATTGCCCCCTCAGATTACCACTTGTTCCGGCCCCTCAAGGCTTTCCTAGCAAAAAACGATTCGTCAACTATGACCACCTTGAACAAGTGGTCGGTGACTTTCTTTGACTCCCAATCTCCCCAGTTCTGGGAGAAGGGAATCGCTGACCTGCCCGTTAGGTGGGACAATGTTATGACTAACGATGGTTATTATATTGTTGATTAGCTTGCATTGTTTGCTGAGTTGTAAAATAAAACAGAAAAAATCTCAACCCTATCAAAACTTTTTGATCAACCTAATATATAGCACAGATATCTCATACAACTGCGGCTAAGAAACCTTCATACTATCGCTAGTTGTACTGATGGGACACCAATTTACTTTAACCGCCATGAAAGTTTCCCCCTACATCATTCGTTATCATGGCTCAACCCAAGAATGTGGAGCACTAAGTGTGAGAAGGAACTTCTACAAGCATTAGCAGCACTCAAAGTACTATAGAAAATCAATACTTTCCCTTTTCTACTGAACGAGAATGGCTCAATGCAAGATAAATTGCGGAATGACAAGGGTACCACATCTCGCTTGATACACAATCGCACGAAATACATTCACTGAACAGGAGCAGCGCCGTCCTGGGCGCAAATGAATACTGCTAAATGGGAACGTAGCAACCATCCACAATTAACTACGGCTGTGTTCACATTTCGCAATTGATGGTGAGTAGATTCGACGATTCTGGAGACTCGGCGATTTGAGAGACAAGGAAAGTTTAGGTATCGATCTGGCGAGGGGTGAGAGTC